AATTATAAATTAAAAATTATAAATTGAAATTAAAAAAATAAAAAATTAAAAAATTAAAAATTGAAAATTAAAAATTATAAATTAAAATTAAAATTTAAAATTTAAAACTAGAAATACGTATACATATATTTACACATATACATATATATACATACATGTACATACATATATATCATACACGTACATGTATAAATATACACATTAAACACTCATACATAAATATATATATATATATATATATTATAACATATATTTATATGAGTTAGGATAAGCGTTTGAGTTCGATTCCTTGGAACGAACTGTAGCGAATTGATAAATATTATATTTTTTCCAATATTAACCGTCTAAATTTTCATCTGAATTTTTCGGAATCGAACTGAATTTCAAAATTCCGAAAAAACCTTTTTTTTAAAAAAAAAATAAATATTTTGAAAATAAAAACCACTACAAAAAATATCCAAAATTATTATTAAAAAAATCCATCGTAAATATAAAGAAAATTCATCACAATTACAAATTTTTGACAGGGAGGCGACGAAACAATTTTCATCTGTAAAACGTTATTACAAAAGTTTTTCATACGTTAATTCATCGCCGAAATTACAACAGACGAAATCTGTGTTTTGCGACGGAAAAACTACGGAAAATTTCGTCCTAAATATTTTTTAAATTTGAAAAAATATAGAAATAATATATTAATCAGTTTAATTTGGAGGATTCAGTTATATATATATATAACTGAATGTTTATACATATAAATATTTTTATATACATATATACATACACACATACATATATATATATATATGCACGTATATATATATGAATATTTATACGTATATATATATATATTTATGTATAAACATATATATACGTATATATATATAAATATATAAAATACATATAGTTAAATACATATATATATATGCTTTTCAGAATCGAAATTTCTATTTGTATATATCAAAAATGGTTCTTGAGTATTTTTACAATCGAAATATGTTTTTTAAAATACTATTTCACTTACAAATCTATTTATTTGTTTGTTTAGTTGACCTTCATCTAAATGGACATAACATACAATCAAAAATTCGGGAGTGAGTGATATTTTTTTATTTTTTATTTTTTATTTTTTTTGTATTTTTTATTTGAGGTGGCTTTGACGCGTTGAGTCATTCGTCATATAAAATTGTCAGTTAACTTTTTTTTAATTTCGATGAAATTTTTATCAAAAATTTATAAATTTAATATTATTTGTGTTTAAATCGAGGAATTCATATTGTGGGATTTTTTAGAAGAAAATTATACATTTAAAAAGTTTATTAATACAAAAAATAGTGGGAGCACAAAGGTGAAGAAATGGCGGGGTTAGGTTTGAGGCTGAAGGTGGCGAAATCGGCGGTGAGGGTGGGAGCGATGAAGGGATGTTGTGGCCGTCTATTCTCTTCGGAATCAAACCACAACGTTCCAACTTCCGGATTCAACAGGCCTCTCTCTGAGATTCTCAAGGAACTCAACAAGAAGGTTCCAGATTCCCTCCTCCGCACCCGCCTCGAGAACGACTTCCCCATCAAATATATTCCATGGTCTCTCTCGCTCCCTTTGCCGTTGAGATCCTAATCTAGGGTTTTTGTTCTCTTCTTATTTACATCCATACATGCTCTTTCCCTAGGCACATCGTGAACCGCATCGTCAACCTCCATGCCCCAGGTTTGCTCTCGAAATCCTTCATCACTTATCCCTTCTGCTTCTTGATCTCATTTTTTTATCTATTTCAGAATGGTCTGGAGAAGTTCGAAATATCACCTACTCTCCTGATGCCAAGTCCGTTTCTGTTGTTTATCGCGTCACTCTGTTCGGCACCGATGCTGAGGTTTCTCCCTCTCTTGTCGCTTTCATTCTGCTTTCTTGATTAACCTATGAGCTCCGACTCCCGCTAGTTAAGCTTGGTATTTGGCGTGAATAGATTTAGCTTGGATGGTAAACTACACTAGGTAACATCTCCAATGAATTAGAGCACTTGTAAGCGTGTGTACAATTTAGAGAATGCTTATGTAAGCGCCTTCCAGTAATTGAAAGAAATGCATGCTTGTCCACTTCTAACCGATTGCTATATGCGCTGTAAAGATATTCAGGGAGTCAACAGGTACAGCTTCAGTGGAGGAGCAATGCTATGGTGATGCAGTACAAAAGGCAGAAGCAATGGCATTTCGTCGTGCCTGTGCAAGATTTGGTTTAGGCCTTCATCTCTATCACGAGGATGCAGTGTAAGACCGCCCACTTTCTAATGTAAGATAGTGTTGTGATTTTTGGAACTCTTGTAACTGTGATGGAACTGGAATCATTGTAAAACTGAAGTATCGCTTTTTGAATTAGAATTGTTGAGGGAATCTCTCTCCCGAATGAGTTTGGCTTTGGGCTTCCATAGCCTTTCTCCCTGATTGGATTGAGTTTGCCACTTCACTTATAGTGTATAATTATCTATAGATGTAAATCTATTGAACAGAGCGACCATAGAACTAGAGACAACTTAGTGTGTGGGGTTACGGTGATCCTAAGTCCCAATCAGTCCTTGTAAAAGGAGGTAGACCTTTTGGAATCACTGTGAATTCTCTCTGGAATGAACGTTTCTCCAAGAATGGATTGAGATTAAAGAAATTTCACGAGTAAGGTTAATTCAATTGAACATCAGCTTCGGAGTTTAGAGTACGCCAAGCACAAGCTAAGGGTAGAGAAAGACGAGAAGCAAGCCATGAGATCGGAGCTCAGAGTAGACTTTGATGTTCATTCGCCCATGGTTTCTCTTCTCAGAACTTAATCTGTGTAGACTCGCAACCTTCATTGTTAGGATGTTGTTATCTAGTTCCCATGACATCCGGGCAATCATCAAGTTCTGCCAATCGAATGGAAATCATTCAGTGAATTGTCTCTGTGGACTGCATTTGGCTTTGGGAACCACGCGCATGTTCTTCTAGTAATAGCTACCACTGAATCTTCCTCTATTGTGGTCCGAATTCTTTCCACACATTTTCCTGCTTGGTAACCTTTGTACATTGTGTGTCGGTGCGCGGCATCCCATCTGCATACTTTTTTGTCCGTCGATCATTAGCTGAAGTTAAACAATAAAAATTGTGATGTATTATGGATGTGTGCGCAAGCAAAGATTAAAACGCACAAATTATGTTTTTCCTCCCACTGCAGCTTAGTCTTCCAGTGTTTTTATTGCCTGCTGCATAGTATCAGCTTTCAGATACTCCGCATGTATGAAATGAGCCGGATGGCTATTGTATTGCATGTCCTAAATGATATAGTTAATCCTTCTCCGATTTTCGAATCTTGTTTTTAGTAGACTAACGTTAGATCTAAAGAATAAAAGGGCCGCCGTAGCAGATTAAAGCTGTTCTTTGCTGTCTCAGTTACTTGGATAGTTGCTACAAAACAACACCGCGTAAAAGTTGTCTGCTGGACAAGAAATTTGAATCGCTTTACAACCCTTACAAAACTGCAAGCTTGATGAACCAAACGTGGCATCTGTCATAACCCTACAGATGTCTTTCCAATGTCATTCCAGGATGACATAAGATTCTTTATATCATTTTCCTAAACCCTGAACTTGAGACCTTGTCATTGCTCAGATTGTCATCTCAGTTGCTGAAAACCTTCTTCAAGACACTGGGTCCTTCGATCTTCCATGAGAGCCAGAAACATAGAAGGATGGCTAGTAACAACAGCATCCACACCTAAATGAAGCATCCTTCTCATTGGATCAGCATCGTCAACAGTCCATGCGTACACCTTCTTGTTTCTCCTGTCCAATGGTCCAAGCCAGTTCTAAACATTGAATATGATTGTTTTCAAGTTGTAACATTGAATTCTTATCACTTACCCATGCATAACTCTCATCAGTCTTTCATCAATCAAGGGATGATAAACTCCAGCCACCCTAGCTCCCCTCATTCTCAGCAGGTTGTTTCTCACCCCAGAAGAAGGATCCTCCATCACAATGTACCCCACCTGCCAAAAAAACACGGTATCATGACGTGTGGTAAATAAAAAAAAGTTCCAACATCAGCCAAATTCTCCGTGATATTAATCCACACAAGAGTATGGGCTACTAACTGTGAGGTCTGGTGCTAGCCTGATTATGTCTCTAACCAAACTGTCACTTTTGGCCCAGACCATGCAATTGTTACACCGGGACCTCTCAATCTGAAACCACATGACTGATGTTGAAGGTAGATGTAACCATAAATCTAAAGGCTATAAGCATCAACAACAATACAGGCTAAGTTTCAGAACTATTCATTTACTCATCGTGGTGTGTGCACATAATTGAGAGAGAGAGAAATCACGCAAGTTATCACATAAAATTAGCAGCGAGGAAGACAGGGTGTAAGCGGCGGACAAGTTCTTGTTATCTTAGCGTTAGAGCTCTTCGTGTACACAACATGCTAATAAGTGATTACAGGAAACTTACAACTGAGAGGATATCCTGAGCAAGCCCCTTTTCATACAAAGGTGCCCCCACTTTAGCATCCAGAATTACTCGGCGGACTGAATGTGATATCAACTACAGGGATAATTCAGGATATTGTCATGGTCGGACACTTGGTTGTAATTTACAAACAAAAGCATGGGGAGAAACTTATCAAGGCATTACCTTCAAAGCTTCTTCGAGGGTAGGAATCATGTTTCCTACAGAAACGTGTGAGACGCCTAGTTTCTTTATCTGCAAAATGACAAAAGGGAAATAGCCTTAGGCTCGCAGATGAGGAGTATAGGGGATCGATGCAGATTGTTCCGTGAGATGATACCTGCTTCATGTTCATATCTCCAACTTGAATGGAAGAGTTACGAGTAATGCGTTGCAGATCCCTGTCTGTGCGAGTGGTTAGGCAACGACGAACAGCAACGATGAGAATAGAGAAAACCAGAGAGAGAGAGTTATGGGAACCGGTGATGCAGAGCAAACAGAACACCGTCGGCAGATCGAGAAACGTCGACCTCGATACAGTCTACTCGAGAACGGATAGCGTAATCGTAGGCATCCATCTGAACCAAGAATGAGGAAACATATATCAGAAGAGGTAATAAAGAGTGAGAATAGCAGGTAGGGAGGATGGGAGTGCATACGGTGTTGGGGAAAGCTAAGGCGGAGTCTCCGCCATGAGCGCAAACAAGAGGAGGATGGTGAAGCCAATCACATTCGCGAGCGATCATCTGGCTAAACCGCCGGAGCTTGAGATGGAAAAAGAGAAGAGGAAAAAACGCCATGAAAGCCACGCTGAAGAGAATCATCCTCTTGAATCTATGGGAGTACCATAGCCTGAAGAAGACGCGGCGCGTCCCTCCGCCCCCGAGCGCCCGTCTTCTCGGCGGCCACCTAGCGATCGCCATCGGCTGTAGCGGAGAGAGAGTATGTTCTAATGGGCTGAAGAGGGGGAAGAATCACCTAAAGAAAAAACCAAAGTAAAACGAAAAATAATTGTTGAATGGGTAACCTGCCCGATGGATGTCCGCATGTGGTCAAGAGAAGATGGGTGTCTTAGGTGGAGATATCCAAATTTGGGCCTGGGTTTGAGTCTTCGTGTCAGATATCCGGGATGATTTTACCCGAATAATACTTTTTTTTTTTTTTTTTTTTTGATAACCGGGTAATCCCAGACCCAAAGGGTCCAGACTAATCCCGACTCACACATACAACCGACACCACACGTGTGGGATGTGAAGCACTCGAAGGTGGCCGGAGGGAAAATCTCTATACCCTGGGTGTTAAACCCACGACCTCTTGTTCAGGAAGTGGGCTCTCAAACCAACAGAGCTGGGGGAGATCCCCACGAATAATACCTTTGTACCGTAACAAAAAAAAAACTTAATTTCGCCTAGCATCACTTTTTGAATAATATTCACAGTGTAACCTTGTCACGAGTTACTCCAATATCAGATACCGAAACTACTACCCAACTAGTGGCCAATGCATTATTCTCTCCAAAATCTCAAAAAAAGTTATTGAGTTTTAAAGATATCCTTCAAAATAAATATCATATCGAGACTATGACTGAACGAATCGTGAATACCTTTGTATCATGATAATATTTTTTAAAAGAAACATATGATGGAAAAATTATAACCATTATCCTCTGGATTATATTCCATAAAAATATATATGATTCAATCATATGCTACAATGAATACACGGTTTGAAGACATATTCAAGATTTGACATGATCGATTGGGTCATCCCAACGGAAAATTGTGGAAAGTACTAATGGTCATCCATTGAAAAATAAAAAGATTTTTTAATCTCATGAACTCACATGTACCGCATGTTCTCAAAGAAAATTGATAATACGACTATCATCGGCCAAGATCGGAAATGAGTCGCCATCATTTTTAGAACGAATACATGGAGATATTTATGGACCAATATATCCACCGAGTGGACCATTTCGATACTTTATGGTATTGATAGATGCATCAAGGAGATGGTCACATGTTTATCTATTATCAACCTGCAATGTTGTATTTGCGAAGTTTCTTACTCAAGTTACCAAACTACGAGCTCATTTCTCTGATTATACTATTAAGAAAGTGATGATTGATAAAGCCGGTGAATTCACTTCTCAAGCTTTCAATGACTACTGTATGTCACTCGAAATTGAGATTGAGGATGTTGTTCTCCATGTCCATACACAAAATGGCATAGTCGAGTCATTAGTTATACAACTCAAACTTATTGTTCGACCATTGATGATGAAAACAAAACTTCTGAATTCTGTTTGGGGACATGCTATTTTGAATGTCGCTGCACTGATTCAACTTCGACTAAGTGCATATCTTAAATATTCTCCAATGCATTTGACAACTGGAAATGAACCGAATATATCTCATATTCGAGTATTTGGTTATGCGGTATATGTATCCATAGCTCCGCTACAACGTACTAAAATGGACTAACAACGACGATTGGATATTTACGTTGGATATAATTCACCCTCAATTATTCGATATCTTGAACCACAAACGGATTATATGTTCACAACTCGTTTTGCTGATTGTCATTTCCATGAGGATGAATTCCCATCATTAGGGGGGAATGATACAAGCCTCAAAAGATTTGACGTGGAAAATAGAATCATTATTATTATATCTTGATCCTCCTACAAAACAATGTGATCTTGAAGTACAAAAGATCATATATATCAGCCATGAATATACCCGCTCGGATAGAAATACCAAAGGATCAGGGGCGAAAAAAATTTCAAATGAGTATGTTGCACAGTTGAAAACGTGGAAGATCACCCGGTTCTAAAGATAGAAATCCACAAAAAAGAAAGAAAACTGAGACTAATGATAGTCCCCACATTAACCTAAAAGAACCGAATGAGGAAAAAAGTTTTGAATATCAAAATGATGAAAATGATCTTCAGAATACAGAACACAATGAGATTTCTATCAACTACATGCATAACGGAAAGATGTTAGTCATAAATGAGATAGATGATAGTGATGAAATATTCTCTTTGATGATAGTAATGGAATATTCTCTTTCTCTGTATCTAAAAAAAATAGAAAATGATAATTAAGATCCAAAACCAATGTCAGTATCTGAATGTCAAAAGATACATGATTGGATAAAATGAAAAGAAGTTATGGAAGTAGAATTAGACTCACTGAACAAAAGAAAAGTATTTGTGTACATTATCCAAACCCCTGACTGTGTAAAATCAGTTAGGTGCAGATGAGTTTTTATGCGAAAGATAAATAAAATGAAATCATGAGATTTAAAGCATGTCTTGTTGTACAAGGTTTCTCTTAAAGACCTGGAATAGATTATGAGAAAACGTATTCTCTAGTCATGAATGCGATTGCGTTTAGATATTTGATAAGTTTGATAACTTTCAAGAATTTGGAAATGTATCTCATAGATATTGTCACAACATATTTATATAGGTCATTGTTAAATGACATATAAATGAAAATTCCTGAAGGAATGAGAATGCAAGGGACATTAAACTCAAAGTCCAAGAAAAATATGCGATCAAATTATAACGATCCTTATATGAATTAAAACAATGTGGTGTGATATAATCACTTAAGTGAATGTCTGTTGAAAAAGGGATACGTTAATAACCCCATTTGCTCATGTATATTCATCCAGAAAACAGATAACAGCTTTGTGATTATAGCAATGTATGTGGATGATCTAAACATAATGGGGACTCCAAAGGAAATTGAAAACGCACAAAATTATCTCAACGGAGAACTTGAGATGAAAGATTTGGGACGAACAAAGTTTTATCTTGGACTACAAATAAAACATCTTTCTAACGAAATATTTATTCATCAGTCCAACTATACCAATAAAATTCTTAGATGTTTTAACATAGATAAATCAAATCCCTTTAGTACTCCAATGATTTGTAAATCCCTAAATGTTGAAAAAGATCTATTTCTCCCTTATGAAGATAAAGATGAGGTATTCGGTCCTGAAGTACCGTACATCAATGCGATAGAAGCGTTGTTATATCTTACTAACTGTACTCGACTAGATATAACGTTTGTTACTACTAATCTTTTAGCAATATATAGTTCGTCTCCAACGAGACGACATTGGCCAGGGATCAAACATGTTTTTCATTATTTACAAGTAACGATTGATTTGGGATTATTTTATCCTAGGAATTCGAAATTTGAGTCAATCGGTTTTGCAAATGCAGGGTATTTATCCGACCCTCATAAAGCTTGAACACATACTGGATATGTTTTCACAATTGGAGATACTGCAATATCCTAGCGTTATCAGAAACAAACATTGGTTGCAACATCTTCGAGCCGCACTAAATCATTGCACTTCATAAAGCGTAGAGAATGTGTATGGCTCAGAGCTGTAACCCACCATATACAAGAAGCATGTGGATTACTGATTAATATCGATCCAATGATATTATTCGGAGATAATGCTGCATGTATTGTCCAAATCAAAAAAGGATATATAAAGAATGACCGAATGAAGCATATTCCTCCGAAGTACTTCTCTTACACTCAAGAGTTCGAAAAGAACAATGAAATTGATATCCGTTATATCCGATCAAGTGATAACGTAGTTGATTTATTCACAAACACTCTCTACTTCAATATTCAAAAAGTATATTCAGAATATTGTAATGCGTCGTCTTCGAAGTTTATGAAAAAATGTATGCATATTGATTCAAGAGGAAGATTGTAAGGTTGTACTTTTTTTTCCATGATAAAGTTTTTAACGAGACAGTTTATACTAGATGTTTAAGAAAGAATATTATAAAATATGCATGTATCATAAATATGCGTATAGTGTTACTCACATCATCTAGTGAACCTACAATATAATTTTCTTCAGTTTCTTATATCTACCTAGTGGGTGATAATGATATATTTCATTTGAAATATACGAAATACGAAAGAAAGAAAAAAATTCTTTCCTTTTTTTCATATTCTATCTCCTCTCAATATTCCATTATTGTTTTTTATCTTTCCTCTTCAACAATATAATTTTTTAGACTTTTTAAGATAATAAAAAGGTATGGGCTCATTTCAAAAGAAAACGAGTTTCAAGTCCACTAAAAATAGAGGCCCAATTATTTCTGGTGAAATAAGCCGAACTAGAAAGTTACATTAGAAAGAAAACCACGAAAGTGTAGGCCCGGCCCACAATCGTTAACATTTGAAGGGCCCGGAGCCCAAAGATATAAAGTATAAGAAGAAGGTACTAGGGAGAAGAGGCAGAGGCGGCGAAGTAGGAGAGTGGCCCGACGAAAGCGGCGTTGATGTAAGTGGCGGGTTCCGAGTGGCTGTAATCGTCCCTCTGGTCAGGGTACCCGTCGTTCTCATTGGGTCCTCCTACTATGGCTCCTGTCAATATGTTAGGGTTTGGATTTTGGGTGTAAAAGGATTGGAATCCACCGTTGCACCCTAGTGTCTTCGATCGAGCTGCCAGAGACGGTAGAGACGATCCTCTGTGGTGGATTCTCCGCGGGAAGTTGGGTCCGAACCCCACCATGTACGACATCTTCAAGGGGTTCATTCCCAGTATATAATCTACCTGTCTCTTTGACAAACTTATCAACGAGTTCGCTACGATCACCAAGTTGCCGCAGTTGAAAGTCCGTCGAGCCGATTTCATGTACTTGGCGTAGGTCGTCACCAGGAATGTTATGGATGTCACGTACTGCAGATTACTCTGAGGTAACTTGTACATCAATCCTCCTGCATTTTTTTTATATATGTTTTTGGAGAGGAAGAAAATTGTTATCAGGCTTGAGATGTCTAGGACATTATCTCTTTTTTTTTTTGTCTGAGGAGATTTTGTTTTCAGTCACCTTGAGTGTACTGTGTGGTCGAGTAGGGAGAATGTGGCAGTATTTTGCATATGAAGTTCTCAGCTGCTTGCTTGTAGGGCTCGAAGGTGATGTCTCTGTTCAGCAATGCTCTCTGCCAAAGAAACAAGCTTTTTAAATCGATGAACCAAGTTAATTGTGTAACCCTAAATCACGCTCACAGGTAATAGGAGACATACCCGTGAGAGGAGGACATAGGCACCAGCATACTTATTGTCCCAGCTGAAGATGTCAGGCTGATCCCTGCCTCCTAGGGATTTTATGAAGTTGGCGTAATACGGGTTGTTTGTTGCTCTAAGCAACCATGCTGCTCCCCACATCAATTCATCCTGTCATCACAACCTCGACTGCTAAAGACAACGGAGGCTTCTGGAAACGAAGTTGTAAGTTCAGATAAAGTAGTATAGTGGCTTTGCTTCCACTATATATTTTCAACCTTTTATTCTATCGCCTAGGCTAGGAAGTGAAAACATATGAAAAAAGCAGACCTTGTAACCAGAGTAGGAGCAGTAGAAAGGACAAACGGCAGAGGCAAGGGAGTCGCTGTAAGAACCCTTGTACTGAATGGCGAACTGCATCACCATCTTGGCTGTTGACAACAGCAAACGTGAGTACTTTGGATCAGCTTTTCTAAATACCATGGATGCCGCCGCCAGAGCCGCGGCTGTTTCAGCAGCAACGTCAGAGCCAGGGTTGGAAGGTGAGACGGAATAGACAGAACGAGGAGTGTCCATGTCCTCTGGTCGCTCCCAGCACCTATGGTCGGCAGTTGGGTTGCCTACTCCTACGTAAAGCTTTCCTGGAGTTGCCCTAGCGCATTTCAGCAGATAGTCTGTGGCCCAGCGGATGGCAACACGTGCGTTTTGGAGCTCAGGCCCCATTCGCTTGCCATACTCCAGAGCTCCCCAGGAGAGCATTGTGGTGCTAAAGGCCATCGGGAAATTGAACTTTACGTTGTCCCCAGCGTCATAGTAGCCCCCTGTCAGATCCACCTGCAGCGCATAACAAAATTACCCACTAACATATGTGTTGCTGAGAAAGTTGCACTAGTTACTGATTGATGATAACAGGTTCAGGGATTAGGGTTTACATGAGCAGAGGAACCATCGGAGAGGCCAGAGTTTGACCTCCAGATGATTCGTTGGTCTAGGGGGAGGCGGCCGGACCGCTGACCTTCGAAGAAAAGCAAAGACTTGGAGAGGGCTTCTCTGTAATTGGGGTTGGCTTCAGCAGTTCCGAGGAATTTTACAGAGAAGAGGAAGAGAAAGAAGAAAGTAGAAGCCATTTTGGGAGATGTTGAAGCAGAACGCAGAGCATGCGTCGGGGGTAGCATTGTTATGTATGTGTATATATAGATAGGGAGAGCGGAAAGGATGCGTAGTTAATGCGAGCGATAAATACGGCTTTTTAGATTTCATTTGACTACTTAATTCCTTTCATTTGTTTTGTTTTGTATTTTTTTCAAGATTAAAGATAAATTCTCTGTTCGTTTTTATATAGATCTCTTTGTTCTAGGAGTACTATTATTGGCTAAACGGGCACGTGGATGAATATAGACGTACGAAATTCCTTTGCGTTAGTTTGAAAATACTTGCTAGTTTTTAAGCAAACTGGAGCAGTAAAGGGGAGACAGAATTCTCTGTTCTTTTTAGATAGATATCTCTTGTTCTAGGGTTTAGATAGTTGTTAGTTTTGTTAGGTTTTGGGAATTATGACTTGCAATGAGGGAGACAAAAAGATAAAGGGGAGCGTGAATGGCGCCAAGATAACGGCGCCGAGTCTTCGGGCTTAATCAAGGAGTTTAAATTTTAATCAGCAGAAAATGTTGCCTTAATCCCTTTGACTTTGTCTCTCTTTATGCGTAAAGAATTATTTATTCTCTGCTTTTGTACCCTTCTGTTGCTTTCGGGTTTCATAAAAAAAAAAGAGGCATTTTGTTCATGGGGCGTTACATTATCCCTACTAGTGAAAATTGAAAAAAATTATCGTTTATATTTGGAACATAGGCGTGGGGGCTTAGATACAACGAGATGGTTGTTTATTATTGTAGTCATTCATCACCACTTAGGGACAAAATCGTAGTGCTAAAACCTGAGGTCCTAGCATTAGAAGCCTCATTTCTGTGGCAAAAAACCCAGGTATCATAGCCCATCAGAAACACCAAACTTTCTCTGTGTTAGGAAAAAAAAAACAAACTTTCTATCTATTATTCAGGATTCAACTACAGCCGGAAATGTCTAGGAGGGTTACATCATCTTACATCCCAAAAAAGACTATAATGACGCAAACGTCAAGAGAAAGGCGTGATTTACACAGTTTCAAAGGCACAAACAAAACAACCTATATATGATCTCAATCCCATGAAGATATTCAACACCAAATGAGCACTTTTGTCTAAATCTGACACAAAGCCAAACACCTCCTGATCACAACAGATCCAAAAGAGATGGCTGCTCTGCTTGTTGCTTGGAACCACTTGACTTTGCGATAGATGAGCCCCCTCTACCTCTTCCTCTTCCCACTGCTACTGAAGGTGGGGGTGCAAGCTTCAGTGCTGATTGCTCGTTTTTGCTAGAACCGAATATAGAACTTATATCTACTGGCTTCGGGTTACTGTATAAACAACTGCCAAAAGTTCCTTGGTTCTGTGTCAGTGCCCCAAAAGAGTTCAGAGGATCTGAATGGTTTGCGCTGGGAGCTGAACCCCCCTGTTGCGGTTTCAATGTGGACAGAGACGAATTCCCAGAAGCCCATATATCATTGTTAGCTGTCTGGAACTGTGCTGTATCTGTTACACTGCTGCTCAAACCAGAAGTACTGTTGATCACAGGTCTGCCGACAGGACCATTGTTGAGACCTCCAGAACTTAAAGAACGGTTTGACCGTGGTGGCCAATTAGCAAATGGGTCCACGTCATCAAAACCTCCATTTGATGAACCAACTGTGTTTAGTTGTGTCTCTTCATTACCTGGCTGAGCAGTGATATTGGAAGATTGTCTTGGAGGCCACTCTATTTCAACTGCAGGACATGATGTTGCTCTTGTTGTCCTGTTGCCTAGATTAGACGTGATTGATGGCTGTGATTGAACCGTAGATATGTTAGTTTTAGGATTCACATTGTGATGAACGGCTGCAGGATTTCTCGAAGTGGGGTCTTTACTCGGGGGACCCCAGTCTTCATCCCACGCAGGACTGCTCTTGGCTGCAGAAGTGACCTTCTCACTTATTTGGCTTGACGCATGAAACTGGATTCCATTGGCAGGGGTCGATTTTACCTCCGGAACTCCATAATCATTCACTGTAATCCCTCTTTTTTCTTCTATTTTCCTGTTTGCAGACCACGAAACGGATTCTCACATGAAAAACGAAATCAGGGGGTAGAAAGGGGAACGTAGGCTTGGAAACAGGAAAGGCTTGGTTCTGCAGTACTGGAACAGAAAGAAAGTTCACCTGAGAAGATCTTTGACAAATAACATGTACTTGGCAAACTGCTGGACGTTCAATTGCTGGGCAGTGAGCAGAGGCATCATCAGGGGAAGCACATATTCTGTGGTGAATTCAACTCCATACTGACAGAAACAGACAATATTGATTATGATATGTGATCCCATTATATGCTACCACAGAGAGAGGATGAATGTCAAGATGTTAAAACATATGCTACCACAGAGAGAGGATGAATGTCAAGATGTTAAAACATCAAGAAGAACACAGATCATTTGCTACCTGGTTGAGAATTGCATTTGCAACAGCAAGGGTACACATAAGGGTAGGTGCAGAATGATCAACGGTTGTACATCGTTGAATTGTATGCAGGATTTCAAGAACAGATTGTTTGTCAAGCATGTTAACCAGCTCCGCTAAGCAGAGCAAAGCATTTACTCTCACCTGCGCAACAATGAGGAAACACCCAGTATAAACCATTTAAAATTCTGTTTAGCAGGTGGAGTCCTTTAATAGATATTCTCTCATAGTTAAAGCTACAAATGGAAAAGAAGATGGGAAATTAAGCAGGCTGAGACAACCAATTGAGGCATAACATACTGCAGCAACAGTAGTCTTGAGAGCCAACACATGAACACAAGGCAAAATTGCTTGCTTCACAACCTGCAAAAAATGAGATGTCAACAATACGGTACATGGCTTAGCTAGATCTGATTTTAATATCTTGATGCTTTATTTGTTATATTTCATTGTTAGTATAGACTAGGGTTTCTTGTATGGTATTGTACCTCTATATAAGAGGATGTTTTCCCGAATAATAAAGAATGAGAGAAGTTTGATCATTTTAGGAGGTCTTTCAGTCCCTTGAACTACCAAATTTAGGAGCTTCATTTGTCCATCTTCTGAAGTACTGGCAACCGCCTTTCGATAAAATATGATCTCGGATTCTATCAAATTACAATAACAGACTGAAACTACGGTGCAGAGCCAAATGCTTTTACGGAAGTGACACTAGTCATGTGTAACCACAGATGAAATTTCGAAGCTAGTGCCAACCAAATGGATGTTATTCCTCCAGTAACACTGTAACAGAAAGTATTAAGCACTGAACATTACCTGACCATCGAGTTGCTTAGCAACAGAAGTGGATCTTTTCAGAACTTCCTCTTGTATGCGGACATCGTTATCATTGTAGGCTCGGAGAAGCACTGGGAGGACGTGTGATACAAGCTGTTCCTGACTAGTCTGAAAATTTGAACAAAACATAGTAAGAGACCTCACAGTATACACGACAGATAAACAACGTTAAACACATTTATAATTGACATCCAGGAAAAAAAAACAGTGTGTTTAGATTTGATATAGATAATAGAGCTCTCAACCAAATGCGGTATAAGAAAGATAAGTAAAGAAGAACCATAAATACATTGGTCAGTTTTATGGCAGTAAACGTACTATGTACATTTGAATGCTTCCATTAAATTAAAGCAATGACACTACATCTGTCTCCCAGGACCGTAACATTTTGTAGTAATTCCTTTATCCTTCCTAGTATGTCTCCAGTCAGAAGATTCAAAACAAAAACCCAGTACCCCATGGTCAGGAAATATAATCCCAGTTATGTCTCTCATATTGATCTGATTTACCTTGTTAATAATAAGCTCTGCATGCTTTACAAGCAGCAGTAAAGTATCTCCAGCTGCAGTACTTAGGACAGGAACAAGAGCTGGGAGTGTTGTCAGCTCAAAATCATTTTTATCCTGCAAATGTGATCAAGGTTGAAAGCATTCACTCAAACATCAGTAAAGATACAAGACAATAACTTTGGTGAAACACATAATGGTCAAATACCATTCTTAAGCAACTTACATTTTTTCCACAAAATGACAAAGACAAGCTAATTTATGAAGAAGAAAAAAATTATCTACATACACCATCTGTCAAAATCTGAAGGTAAATAAAGATAAGTCAGTGGAGTAATGTGCCAGCAATTGGTTACAAGCAAGTTCCACAAGACAAAATTTTATCTTGAATCCGTATAAAGCACACAAACACCAGACTTAGAAAGAAACATACACAAACTACAAAGAGCCGAGTGGTAGAACTTAAATGCCTGAATTTAGCAGAAATGCACCTGGGACTCTGCTATAGTTAGAACCATGGGAAGGATTACTGGTTGCATAACCAAATTCCTAAGTTCAGCACAGAGAGGTGGAAGCACCTGTATGGAAAAAATCACTTTAAGTAGCCACTGTTTTCCTTTTCAAGGATCACCATAAGGAGGACGATGCTTTTAAGATCCTAAATTACCTTATACCGCAGCACACGGGAATCAAAATCTTTCCACATATCTGATAATGCTTTTAAGAACTCAGACTTCTGCATGTTGTCTCTTTCCTGCAATAAGGAACCAAAATTTCCACGTGAAGTTTATTCCCCGGAAACATGCTTCCAATTATCTAAAAGCAGTCTGTCTGAAATAAAGATTGGAAGTTTAGACATGTACAAGCATATGATCAAGGAACCGGAGGGCACGCAGACGAGCATCGCTTCGAAAAAAGGGAGACCCTACAAGCAAGTATTCAAGGCATAGATGTAAGAACAAACACAAGCAAAGAAATAACTACAGCCAATCCAGAGGAAACCAGAATAAAATATGTTAATCTTACCGGTAAAATCCACTGCTGTTGGTCTAAAGGACTCATTCATTGATAGCATTCGTTGCAAATCAGAGATTAAGTCCGAGGGAATAGATGAGAAAGATTCATTTGTTAAATAGTTCAGCGTGGTCATGTACTGCAGTAAAATTGCAAACGAAAAATAGTCAATCGTTAAAAAAACAAAGATGTACCAATAAATCCTGTCGGCTAAATTGAAAAAATGTACAAAATAGAAATTATAAATGGATGGAAAAGCATGAACAGAGGCGGCTTTCTTTTAAGACGAGACATGTCACAGTTCACATCTGAAGATTAATGAAGGAGCTGGAATGTTAGTACTACCATTTTGACGTTGTTACGGCAGTCTAGCAACGGCTTCCGTGCAACTAAATGATAGGCAAGGCATCCAAAACTAAAAATGTCGGAAGAAACTCCAACTGAAGGCGTTTTACCCCGGACCAACTCAGGTGCAATGTAATTTAGAGATGGTTGGAGAGGCAGTACTGAGTCCTCCACATCATATTCCTGCACAATCCAGCCATGCGGAGAGACAACCATCACATATGTGAAATCTATCTTGCTTTTGTAGTTGAACAGAATAAATGCATGTAAAATATGATTGAATTCTAGTAGTAGCAAATCAAGGGTTTAAACTCACAGCATAATGAAATGTTTGCATATTATCTAGATTGCCGCACTGATCTGCCGAAAGAGCGAAACCAAACCCAGCAAGCTTCCAAGACCCGGTCGCCGTAACAAGAACATTCTGCAGGGAAGTAAAGCCAGATCACATGTTTAAGAAAACAAATACATACAACTTGTAAGAAGACTAGAAAGTATGAGAGAGAAGCTTGAGAGAGCGACCTCAGGAGATATAGCACGATGGATGAGACGAGCATTATTATGGAGAAAGTCCAATGTCTCAGCAATCTGGAGCAGACCGTGTTTCACCTCCAACAAGCTCATCTCCTGCAAGCAACAATTACATGATCAGATTCTCAATCAATTGCTCGTATCTGGAACTCTAGCTGAGTCGAATCAAAGGAAAATGAGGATAATGCACCATGGATTTGAGATCTTTGGGGACCTTAGCGACATTCTCAACATTCCCAAGGGCGTTAGCGATGGAGGCGAAGAGAGGCTCGGTAACCATAGCGATGGCGTTCTTGTTCTCATCGAGGGCCTGCACGACGTGGACGACACCGGGGTGCCTGAGCCGCACCAGCTTAGCGGCATCGGCACGAATCAGATCGAGGAAGGCGTCCTCGGCGGCCTTGGAGAGCCCCGCCCGGATACGAGCATCTGACAAGGAGCGCTTGTCGAGAATCCAGACGCAGACGGAGGGGTACTGCTGGGGGCGCGTGGAGTCGCGCGCCTTGGCGGAGTAGAGCTTCCAGGCGAGGCCGGGACCTGCGGAACCGATCGGATCGAGGAGCTCGTAGTCCTGGAGAGGCAGTCCAAGCAACAGCGTCTTGATGATGGCTCATGTCCATAAAGAGCTTGTAGCATTCAGCAAAGTCCCCACCCAGTCTGGGTAAACTTTGACCAATGAAGTCGCCACTTCAGTGTGAATTAAATGTCCAGATTTTATGCTCAGAGAGTGTAGCAGAAGACTAAACTTCAAACCCACATCATGATCCAGCGCTTCTGTACAAAGAAGCAGAGATAATAAGCAGTGTGACACAGTCAAAACAGATTCCATCACAGATGCATTCACACGAAAAGACTGATAGCTTGGCTTTCAAGACTACAGCATTGAAAAGTAGCAATCTTAGAGTTCCAAGAAATCAAATTCTTGAACTCCATGGCCTCAAACACAGTCTAACCCTCATATGTGGCAGTATTACGGCCTCTAGCGTACATAGAGATGAGCGAGTTCACAGCATAAACAGAAGAACGCAGCCTGCAACGAGCCGACAACCAAACCTGGAGAAACAATCCTGGTAACCTAAGCTATACTCCTAAAATCGATCAGCAGATGCACTAATTGTCGCAAGCCTTTGCAAACCCCACAACTGTGCATGCATGTGTGTTCAGGCTGCTATAGAGGGAGTTACCTGGCTGCTGCAACAATTTCCTCAAATGATGGACCAGCCAAGATGGAACGGTTAGCTTCTGCTTCAAGACAAAGCAATGCAGGGCCGGTGACCTCCTGCACCGTCGTCTGAACCGTCTTCTCGATCACCGCCGCCGTCTTCGCCAGCGCCTGCGTCAGCGTTTTCATGTTTATCGACATTTCTTCTGGTCGGAGACCGGAGAGATCGAAGAAAAGCCGAAGCCTGGATCCGAGATCGTTTCCTCTCCTCCGCAACTTGTTCCTTCAATTACAGTCTTCGATCTTTTGTTTACTAGTTTTTAATTTACTTATATTTATTTTTGGCAAAATCAGTGCTTGCCGTTGCGGAGATGAAAGTAACACGGTGAACGCACTTTCGAGTCCGTGGTCGCAAGAAACGAATAATCAGAGCCGCCACCGACGGTTGAGTTGCCGAATGAAATGGTAAATTGACGAATTGGATAATATTTATTTCGATATTTACCAGAGAACTGGACCATGCACCGCCACATATCGGATGAAATGGTAAATTAGTGTTTCATTTGAATCTTCTACTGCGCCTATCTTCTTGTAAAATTGCCAAACTATTGAAATAAATTATTTAATTTAAATAAATTATTTAATTTAAATTTAAATAATTTAAATTTTATGTAAAAATAATGATATGTTATAATTGTGATGATATTTGTAAGCCATATCAATGTCACATCATCATTTTTTATTGAGTTAACATATGTGGAGATTTTCAACGAATTTTTAAAAAGTTCAGGATTTTATGGATCAATCGCACTAAATATAGGGTTTAATTGGTAAACAAAAAACTATAGAGTTTTTTTGTTGATCCAGAAAGAATATGAAGTAAGTTTTTTTGAACTATTGAAATTCCAATTACAGATCCTCATCCATTATTTCAAGGCTATTCCCATCATCAATTCGTTAACAGTTGGTAAATAGTTTTGTGTAACCAACATCTTAGCCAGTAGCTATATACCAGTAGTCATTGAAGGAGCAGGAAACGTTGCAAGAAACTATTTCTCTAGATTCAGTAAGCTATGGCAATCATCGCGTATCCTTGGGTCCTTCGTTTTCTGGGTCGATTTCCCGGCACCGCCAACTAATCTCAGCCCCTCCGTGACAACAAATGCTGTATGACCCAGCAGTTGCTCCTCCGCATCTTCCAACACCAACTGGGTCTCTGGCACGTAACCTATCTCCTTCCTTCAGCCGCCCAATCAGCTCCCTGCATATGGCTTCCCTACCCTCCAGTTACGGATTCTTGAACCTCATTATCTATCTCAGTCCAGCTCAGACCCGATTCTTTCCTCATTCTCCATGTCTGCATCTCCTTTCTAGCTTCAGTAAAGCTACCCGCTGCACTGAATATGTTCGATATCTGGACATAACTGGATGAGTTTCCAGGTTCCAGTTCTATCAGTTTCTCCGCTGCTAACTCACCTAGTCAGGCATTATGCTTCCATCGGCATTTGCTTCATCACCTCTTCTGCGTCACCAAGTATCCCAATCCTACCAAGCATGTCGATAACACAAGCGTAGTGATCTAGCTGAGGAAGAGATTCGATGTTCCTGGACATGGACCTGAAACTCATCATTACTTCTTCTACCCGACCAGCATGGCTGCACCTGGTAGCCCATGCAATCATAACTCTTGAGCACTGAGTTCCATGATACCAGACCCTGTGAACCCATCTCCTAAAAACCTGCTCAAGCAACTCCATAGAGCCGCACCTGTGGAATACGTGTGGATCGACAAGCATCGTTCAGCGCTGACAGTCTCAAGACCAGCCTCTATCACTTGCATGTGAATTGTCGAAGCATGCGTGGTTTCACTTGTCCTGCACAGATTTTTGCAAAATTGAGAAAGTATAGCAGTCAAGATTTAGCTCTTTTCAATGACAATGGCCAAAAGAGCCCTCTCTGGGTCACGATCTGCACACATTATAATCCCAGTCCAAGCAACAGCGTCTTGATGATGGCTCATGTCCATAAAGAGCTTGTAGCATTCAGCAAAGTCCCCACCCAGTCTGGGTAAACTTTGACCAATGAAGTCGCCACTTCAGTGTGAATTAAATGTCCAGATTTTATGCTCAGAGAGTGTAGCAGAAGACTAAACTTCAAACCCACATCATGATCCAGCGCTTCTGTACAAAGAAGCAGAGATAATAAGCAGTGTGACACAGTCAAAACAGATTCCATCACAGATGCATTCACACGAAAAGACTGATAGCTTGGCTTTCAAGACTACAGCATTGAAAAGTAGCAATCTTAGAGTTCCAAGAAATCAAATTCTTGAACTCCATGGCCTCAAACACAGTCTAACCCTCATATGTGGCAGTATTACGGCCTCTAGCGTACATAGAGATGAGCGAGTTCACAGCATAAACAGAAGAACGCAGCCTGCAACGAGCCGACAACCAAACCTGGAGAAACAATCCTGGTAACCTAAGCTATACTCCTAAAATCGATCAGCAGATGCACTAATTGTCGCAAGCCTTTGCAAACCCCACAACTGTGCATGCATGTGTGTTCAGGCTGCTATAGAGGGAGTTACCTGGCTGCTGCAACAATTTCCTCAAATGATGGACCAGCCAAGATGGAACGGTTAGCTTCTGCTTCAAGACAAAGCAATGCAAAAAGTAAACAAAGTGCCAAAAATTTGACGGTGATGGGATAAAGAGGCTAAGAAACTTACAAGGGCATTTTTTCCATGAGAATGCAGCAATACGAGGGATAAAAATTTCAGCCAGCAGCCTTTCATGAATCCATTCTTTAATGTTTGCAGGTAAACATACTCTCATCTCTCACTTGTATTTCACTCCAACTGAAAGTATTCATGTGAACACTTCTTGTTTTGCCCTATGTTAACATGCAGACACGTTGATTATCCTAATCAGACACGGTGAAGTGGAGAGCAAGATCCAAAGGGGTCTGCTTCATCCTACTTCTTCCAGAAGTTCTTCTGAACTTTGCTCCTGACTGAAGACATAACCAACGGCATCTTTCATCAACTCGTTCATTCCATCTAACAGAGGATAAATCCTCTGTGCTTGGGGGTTTGATGTGTCCTCCACCGAGAACTGAGAAGACCCAGCACCTAGATCGACCCATGAACGCCCAGGAGCCTTCTTCACACCCAAGTCCCTCATCAAAGTCCTCACCTCAGCAAGCTTGTTCCAACAACCAGCAGCTGCATACAAATTTGCCATCAACACATAGTACCCCGGGTTCTCTGGTTTCATTTCCCAGAGCATTTCAGCTGCCCATTCACCCATATATATGTTCCCATGGATGAGGCAAGCTCCCAGTAGAGTAGCCCAAATGGCGCTACTAGGCTCGTAAGGCATTCTTTGGATTATATCTCGAGCTTTACTCAAGAGACCTGCTCTGCCATAGAGATCAACCATACAAGCAAAATGTTCCAGACAAGGATGTATCCCATACTTACTCTCCATCTTCTCAAACAACCTTTGTCCTTCGTGCACCAACCTAGAATGACTGCAGGCCGACAGAACTGCAACCATGGTTACATGGTCAGGTTTGATATGAGATCTGATCATCTCTTGGAACAGTGCTAAGGCTACTCGTCCTTCACCCTGCATGCCGTACCCATCTATCAAAGAAGTGTAAGTCACATTGTCCCTCCTGTTCATCGAGTTGAATACTCTCTTTGCAGCTGCCATTTTCCCAGATTTTGCATACATATTAAGAAGGGAGTTCCATAGGATTAAACAGTCCTCAAAGTTCTGGCGCCTCAAGATATAGCAATGTAACTCCTTCCCATGCTGCAGATTTGCCACACTGGCGCAGAGAGGGAGAATGGTTGCAAGTGTCACGTAATTTGGCTGAAAGCCAGAGAGCAACATCTCCTTAAACAGGGAAGAGGTTTCCTCCGATCCACCAACTCGGGCGAAACCAGAAATTATAGAGTTCCAGTTGGTCAAACTCTTCTCTTGAATCTGTTGAAACACCATAAAGGCATGCCTATGGTCATTGCATTTGGAATACATCGAGATCAATGTATTTTGAACATTTTGGATTCCAGTGAAAAAACTGCGAATCGCGAGACCATGAATCTCTTTCCCCAACCGAATCGCTCCTAGGTCCGAGCATGCCCCCAAACCAATAATGATAGCCACAGGATCCAAACTCACAGAGCGATTTCTCACCTCAGAGACTAATCCCAAAACTCCTCCGTGGTTGCCTGTACGCAACAAACCTCCAGCGACAGTGTTCCACGTTATGACGTTGACTTCTGCAACAGAAAACCTCATTTCGTCAAAAAGCTCAGATGCTTTAGCCCACATACCTTCGGATGCATAACAGCTTATGATTGCGTTCCAGGAGACAGCATCCCTTTCAGGCATTTTATCAAATAACATCCGGGCAATATTCACTTTGCCAAATTTGCTATACATAGAGATCAAGGCATTACGGACATACAAGCTGTTCCTGTGAGAGCTAACCTCAATGGACCCATGAACCATCCTTCCTGAAGCAAAATCCAGAGTTTTTGCACAGGCCTTGAGCACAGATGGATAAGTGAAAGCATCGGGTCGAATTCCCTTACTCACCATTCGCTTGTAAGCACCAACAGCGTCTTCAAAAAGCTCGCTGCGAGCATATGAAGCGATGAGCACATTCCAAGGTGAGGGGTCTAAACTCTCGGAATTCTGGGTAATGATCTCAGCTCCGGCGAGGAGATTAAAAGAAGAGTAGAAAGTAACCAGCTTTCGGACCAAAACGGGATGGTATTCGAGACCCGACGAAATAGCAAGAGCGTGAATTTGCCGCCCTGTGTCGAATTTATGAAGGTCGACGCAGGCGGATAAAAGCAAAGCGGCAGAATGCAAAATGAAGCCACAGGAAATAGCAGAAGAAGAAGGTTGGAGACGAAGAAGAGAGAAAACTCTAAAAGCGTCAGATAAGAGGCCGCGGCTGGCGAAGTAATCGAGAGATTCGAAAAGACTGACGAACATAGTTTCATCCTGGGTTTTGGTAGTTGCTGGGACTGTTGTTGGGGACTTTTTCCATGAACTAGGAATAAACTTAAGAATCTGAGAAATGGTGAGAGCTCTAGGGATAGGGCGGGAAGAAGAAGATAGCATATACTGTTAGAGTGCGCAGTATGTGTACACATCATCAGCGGCATATGGTCTCATTTCATCCACGTGTGTAGAATTCATAGCAAGGATGGGAAGAAGCTTCTTCATTCATAGAGGCATATCATCGAACAGGTGGTGCGCCTGTGCCCAAAGTAGCATACCAACAAAGCAGTCCCAGAAAAAAGAGAAAGATCCCGGGAAAGAAAAAAGACAAAGGAGATTGAGCGACAGAGAAAGGAGAAAGAACTCGGGCAAGGAAAAGAAGGAGATTGAGTTGAGATCGGAAACAGAGGAAGGTGGAAGAAGGCGGACGAAAAAGGTGGAGCATTTGTGCCGAAGAAGACGATTCCCCCCAATATTATTTGCTGCTGATATTGGGCCGTTCCACTCCGATGGGCCTCTCTTCTTCACAACTTATTTTTGTTCTTCTAAAAAAAATTACTCCCAACTTATTTTTGTTGTCTAATGGGCCTCACTTTTTCGTCCCTCGGGCCACGTCTACTCAAGCCTCATACACGAAGGCTTGTTTGGAATCTTTGGATGCGTGCACAGATGAGTTATTTGACATTCCGGCAAACACGGCATCTTTTCACTAGAAGAACTAAAGTGCGGTTAGAGAGTTAAACGTGTGTGGATACATAATTTAAAACAATTCCCATAAAAAATCTCTTTCAAAATGTGTCCCCAATGTCTTTTTCTTCTTCGTGTCCTCATTGCTACTGTTTTTATACATATTACTTCAATACGGAGCAAAATGGAGAGATGAAGTTTTGGCTGAGCATGTGTCCGCCATGAATCCCGTAGATGATACCTCATAGTTGTAAAAGACGAGAGAGACTGAGATCGAGGTTGAAAACGGGTTCCCAAGAAGAGAGAAACTCAAACAAATCAAGAAGGAAGCCCCTTTCACACCGCTCCTCTCCCTCGCCAATATGGCTTTGCCTTCCGACGTCCCTCCACGCCAACTGCTTCCTCCCGTTGTCAGCAGAAGAGCCGCTGAGAATAAAATGCGAGACACGGGGGCCTTTAAGGAAGTGTAACAATTCTAGCTAGAGAGCTGACCAAAATATGGCGTACAAGTGCTTTTGAGTGAGACGGCAACGGTAAATTAGAACTGAGATCTTCACAAGGAGAAGGAAAATAAAGGATGTGAAAGAGCCAAATACAGCAGTTCAATTGATTCTATGGTCAAATCCTGTAAGGCTCTCACTCGGGGTATGAAAATGGAATTGAAAACCATCATACATAAAACTATAACCCTGATTTGACGGTCCAATATCTGCTTAACAAATTTATTAAGGAATGAAACGGGTTATATTTTTTTTTAAAGAAAGAAAAACATCACAATTACATAGCAAGCCGTTAATCCATTCTCCAGACACATAAACTAGAAAGAGTATACGCGTACACAATAGAGGTTTCGCCTGTGGCATGGAACAGAAATTCCACTGGCCATTATTATAATTACCTGGAGACTTGACATTAATATAAGACATGGCCAAATTCCTGTGTGTCTAGTATTGAAATATTTCATTTGGCATGGTTAGTGGATAACTATAGTTAGTGGTCATCGGTGCAAAGTTAGCAGCTATCATGCTATTGTTGTTCTCCTCCATCTGCAATAATTCGACAAGAAGGAGAGATAGTACTCAGTTAGGGATCCAGAGATTCACTTCACCTTCAGATGGCGAAATAGTACCAAGTCTGTGATTATATTATTGGACAACGATCAACCAATTAACAATAGTATATATTCCTCTTCCATTTGATTTTACAATTTTACTTTTGGATTTGATGTATCTAATGTTCGGATGTATATATATGTTCATAGGTATGTATATGTGTAGTTAGGCTTAGATCTAATGATGAAATGAAGTTATTGTCCGTTACCTTGTCGCGGAGATACTTGTTGGCAGCCTTGAGGACTCCTTCCTTCATGGAGCACATTATTTAATCAATTAATCAACTTTAATATCAGTATACAATATATTCGCAATAAGTGCATTACATTCATTCATGTTATACAACGGCGATACGTATGGCCTTTAAGTGTAAGAATCACATACTGACCTTGTCCCTCAATGACTGGATTTCTTGAAGTAAAATATCCATCTGCAACGCCATGCACCTCATATCAATATACTTTCAGTTCGACTTCCCTAAAGTCATGTGTGAAATTCCCAAAGAAAAAACAAATTAAGTGCATATTGGGGTGTGGGTGACAGCATATGCAAATGTTGTAAAGAACCTTTCTGGAGCGAATCTGACAAATCCAATACTCCAGATGCTTTTCAAGCAAAAGCAGTTCGTCCAGACCCATTGCTCCGTCTCCTCCTCCGAACATATACCTGCACGCACATATATATATCAGTATATGTAAGTGTACACAGACATGTCTCTGTGTGTGTGAATGTAATAATTAGGAAAATGCTTGTGCTGGAAATGAACATGTACCTTATCCCTTTCTGCAGCATTTCAATCTCTTGCCTAAGCATATTGATCTCATCTATCGGATCCTAATAATTCCATCACCAAATCAATATTTCTTGTCGTGTATCCATATATAAAAACCAAACATCGGTTACTATATAACTCTGTTCAGCTCGCGGTATTTGGGACAAGACATAACATCCGTTACCTAATCAGTCATAAAAAGCAATCAGAATTGCAAGTGTTACTTGCATCCCTACCATTACATTTGTTAAAAGTTGGTACAGTCGTTAGCATGCGTTCATAATTCAGGAACTATTTTACCTTTTAGCACCTTAATCGATTTCTATAATGACCCTTTAATCCTTTATACATGCATATATTATATATAGGTGTGTAAACTAATATGGCTTAGTGACTGCGTCACTGTGAGTACAATACAATTGCATTTTTAATCAACTTCGTTACGGAAAGCTAAACCTACGAGGCTTCAACTGAGCCTGGACACATTAAATATTCAGATAATTCAGATTCGAGAAGCGCGTTTTAATTTTTAGTCAATATATTTAGAATCAGTATCAGGTGCCCCTCCCAATATCTTATTTTTTAAATCACAAATAATTATTAACGACTCCCGATTAATTAGAATTGATGTATTAAATGATTGGGTGCTGCTGCTGACACATGTCATATGATCGGGTTTATATATATATATATATGTTCAGTGTGACACTAAATTACACTTTTTTGGTAGAGAGTACATAATTATGATAAAACTACAAATATAAATCAAAATAATTAAATTGAAGATGTAGGAAAAGAAGAAAGACATTATCGGGTAAAAATCAGGACGAAATCTACTCCCGCTAGAAGTTATCCTATACAAATTTAATGAGAAAGGGACCGAATTAAAATGAATTAATGATGATGAGACAATAAACCGTATTTATAATCAATGAGACGATCCGTTCTAAATAGTAATTTTATTATAAAAAAAAAAATAGAGATTGAGGAGACATGGATATACGTGATTAAGACTGGGAAAAGAGGGAGAAAGGCGTACAAGATTTGGGGGTTCATGAGGAGCAGCGGAAGCAGAAACAGAAGCAGAAGAAGCAGAAGCAGTGGTGCACTTCAGGTACTTCTCAATCAGTCCCTCCATCGTTCTAATTAGTCAGATATATACCACGTCATACGTCACACGCAGACATCGATCGAGAGCGAGAGAGTTTGGATGATGGATTACCCTTTGGTGGCGAGCTCATAGAGCTTCCCCTGAGGAGAGAAGATGAGAACGCCGATCTCGGCGTCGCAAAGCACAGAGAGCTCCTTGGCTTTCTTGAGAAGGCCAGCTCGTCTCTTGCAGAACGTCACCTGCCTGTGCACCGGGTTCTCTACTCTCTTCAGCTGTACCTTCCCACGTGCCATTCTTTTTACTTGTTCGTGTTCGAATGCGGACAACCTCCCACTAGTTTGAACTAGCTTCGAGGTTGCGCACTTTTCTCTCTCGGTATAAGACTTAACTTGTGCGTTAACCCTAACCCATTCCACCTTTTATATCTCTTCCTGATCACATCCTCTTCCACCTCTCTCTCCTTCCCCCTCGAACCTTATAACTTTACACGTCACCCACTTCTTCTCTTTTATATCTTAGTGAGCCTGTCTGTTATATACGTATCGTTTGTATAAATATATGTGCATGTATTATATATATATATGCCTAATTAATTAAGTTATATCTCACTTTTCCCTCACCACATATATATAATACCAGTCGATGATCTAGTTTAGGTTAAGATCATTATAGAAGATAAAAACAAATGTGGCATGAATTAGCTACTGCATATATATGCCCGTGCCATTTGGTTATCGTTGTACGCTGCTGTGTTTGTCAAGGATTTGACCGTGGCTAGCGTCTAGAACGTATAGGCTGCAAAATTTTAATTTTTCAAGCCAAAACGAATAGGAGAAAATCCACGGCCTATTATCTCTCTCTATGCAGTCCTTTTATATCTCAAGTATTTGATGTGTGATGGGCAGGGCATCTCTACTATTCAATCAGACGTTTTTATGTACGTATTACGATCAAACTGTTTTATGTATTACGCTCAAGTTGCTGTTGAAACAGTAAAGGTGAGGAATCTGTATTGTCAATTAGATGCTTTATCTATATTATAATATGGTTATAGCGGCTTGTCTAGGTTAACTCCCTAGGTTTTGTTGACAAATGAAATGAAACTGATGTAACACACTTATGTTATGATATCTGCTTATACCATTTCAAAATAAATTCATAACGTGACGTGCGCCTATGGTAACTATCGAATTTGATAGATATATGCCTCCCATATATATGATGCGGACACCTGTATGTTCAGAGACTTTGTTGTTTGGAAGAATTATCCAAATCAAGTACTTGCGGTTGCGTCTGTTTGTTGGTTAATTATGGGATTAAGACATGTCTTGTACTGTGGATTAATAAATAAAATAACATAAATTAATTATTAGCAGCATATAACTAATAAAGAACAAATAAACATGGGTACTAAGTCAAGATTTAATGGGGCAAAAAGGGTTTCCATGTGCAAACCATGTCATGGAGAGCCGATGAGCTTCCCATGTTAGGTTCCAATAAGACTGGCTTTCCACCCTTTTTTTATTTATATTTTTGCTTCGTCTGCCTGTTTTCTGGCCATCATGCTTGGCCTTTCGTCTAAATGACAAATCTCCTGGATATTATTCGTCTACAACACGAGAATATATACATACACTCACACACGCGCGTATATATACATCCATCAAGACGGGGAGACTGGTTGTAAGTCAACTGTTCTGTACATGCAAACTCGATGAACAGAATGTGCAGTGCACGTGATCACATATCGCTGAACTAGAAAAGAATTTTTTTTTTATAAAATGAAATAACTCAGCTTTTTTCTGCTGGAATTTTGGCAGAAACAGAACCTTATTCGTTGCAAATTGCAATTCTTTAATGGCGGGGCAGTAGTGCGTCGCTCTTGGGCTGGAAAAATATTTTGTCTGTGTCTCGCTCTCGGGTCGATGATAAGTAACGAACAAGGCAGCGAGAATCTTTGTCAAATCAAAACGAAAAAGGCACAAAGCAAAAGGGAATGCTTTTCTCGAATCTTTGCGATCATTGGTTGTGCAGATCGCGTCTATGATTGACACTTGTCTTTTACTTTACTTTCATTTTTCTCTCCTCTTATTTTATTTTATTTTTCATATCCTCCAAAAATCTCACTGCCTGCCTTTTAATCAACTTTATTTTTGGTCCTCACTCGTTCGTGCTACACATATAAATGGTTAGTCTTTTATGTGTAACGGTTTAATTTTAATCACAAAAGCATATATGCAAATACACATGCATACATGGCATATTATTTGATGCACCTGAAATTGATCATGGTTTACGGAATTAATTAACATTAGGGATCAAAAGGCAAACGCCACTTAGATATTATAAATATCTATCAGATCGAAAATGAATCTTTAAAAGCAAGGGCTAGATGCCGTAGGATTATTAAGGTAGCTCTTTATACTTGTTTCATGCTTATTAATTATAGTTTAATGTTTTGTATTTATTTTTATTAATATTTGTCTATATAATAATTAAATGATCACAATGTTTACATATGGAAAATTTAAAGAAAAGATACTTTTGTTGGTGCGAGGAAAACAGTAAAATACTTTCATATTCTACACTACCAAATGAGGTGCACGGCTTTTTGTAAAATTATTTGTTAAGTAAATCAAAAATCAATTTATAAATTTATATATAAAATAGTTGTAAAATAGAATTAACACACAAAGATGTTTATTATGATTTTTTTTAGATATTTAATTTTTTGAATAACGGTGAAAGCACACTTGGAAAATCGAAGTATATAACTTATCATCCTACAAAGGGAAACAAAAATTCAAATTCAAACGATATGTTATGATAAAAAGAAGTCAAAGTTCAAAATTCTATTTAAAATAGAAAAATAAAAATATTAAAAGAGTAAAATAAGATTTTGAGATATGATTGAAAATAAAAATGGATACAGTATTATTATGGCAAATATTATGTATTTGATTTGTTTCCATTGTATTTATATATTTGTTTATTTTGTTTCTTAATTTTTCTATAAATATGTATTTGATTTTCATTGTAATATAACCATAAAAATAAAAAATATACCAACAAAAGTATTTTGATTCTTTTTCTCTTTCATTTTTATTTATTTATTTATTTTCTACTTTTTATTATTTAATACATGATACTGTTGAAATAGGAAAATGAATATGTGATTGGAGGAAAATTTAGATTTTGGAGGAACACAATATTATGTTAAATATTGTGAATCATATTTATTTCCGTTATATCTATATTTCCTTTTATTTCATTTGTTAATTTTTCTATAAATATGTGAGTTATTTTCATTGTAATGGAACAAGAAGAAGAGATGTAGCAATAAAAGTGTTTATGTTCTTTTATATTTTGTTATTTCTTTCTAATTTAATTTCCGCATTTTATTTTTCTACATGGTATCAGAACCTGGTTCGATCTGCTCTATATCTTTTTTTCTCAATCTCTTTTTTTTTGGAAGTTCATATATCCAAATCGTTCAAATGGGAGTAAAAATCTCAAAATCAAACGAGGAGGTGTTGTGACAAAAAGAAGTCAAACCTAAAAACTCTAAGATCAAGCGAGGTGCTATGACAAAAAGAGTTAAAGGTAGAACTTCAAAGTCAAGCGAAATGATTTGAACATGGGTAATATTCTCTAAAAGAACTAAATTTGGTGTTTATGGATTTTTCAAAAGACAATAAAAATGTCTATGGATTTTTATCGCATTATCTTTTCAAGATTGATTTTTGCATTCTTTCAAAATCAATCTTGAGAGGGAATGTTGAAATAAGAAAATGAATATGTGATTGGAGGAAAATTTAGATTTTGGAGGAACACAATATTATGTTAAATATTGTGAATCATATTTATTTCCGTTATATCTATATTTCTTTTTATTTCATTTGTTAATTTTTCTATAAATATGTGAGTTATTTTCATTATAATGGAACAAGAAGAAGAGATGTAGCAATAAAAGTGTTTATGTTCTTTTATATTTTGTTATTTCTTTCTAATTTAATTTCCGCATTTTATTTTTCTACAGATACCACTTTCGTTTTTTATTATTTATTTATTTTTCATATTTTATTTTTCAATACAATTACAATGGTATCACATTGGATGCAAACGTAAGACAATGAGAGACGTGTGGCGTCGAGTTTAATGGGTTTCCGGTGTAGATTAATAAAAGATTCATCAGAATGCAAACAACAACTAGAATTATAATTAGTCTTCCTCTCAACCTTTCCGTAAAATATGTTGGGGTTGATCAAAATGATCCGCATAAACAACAGTCCATGCTTTATTCTCGATAAGTTTTTTTTTGTCCTAATGTATTTAGCTCCTCACCCTCTATTTCTTTATAATTTTTTTGGTTGATAAATGAGAATTCGAAACAACTTCACATATATTTTTTAGTTTTTTTATAATAAAATTTGCAACCGACTCTAAGTAAATTTGGGACTAAAGCGATGTTGATATTGATGTGATAATAATAAAATTTGCCAACTGCATAGAGATTCAAATTTGATAATTATCAACGTTTTACCTCCTTTTCTAGTAAATCAACTTTGTAGAATAACCTTGGAAGAACGTTTTAAAAAAGTTATATGTATGATTTTACATTTCAGTATTTGAATAAAGCTACGTATAACATAAAAAAAAAACCCAACAATTGGTGGCCCAGTGGTTGAGAGGTGACAAAGTCATCCTCAAGGTCCTGGGTTCGATTCCACTGGTGGGGAGAGATGTAATTTCTGGACTAAAATAGTCCATATACAAAGGCTGGTCCTGGGCCTAGGGTGGATGTAATCGGGCCGAAGGCCCGAAGAACCATCCTGGTTATAAAAAAAAAACATAAAAAAAAGCATAAAGAGTTAGCAAGTTTTTATTTTTATGATTGTATAAAACGGTTCCGTGTGGAAAGAGGAGGAAAAAGCAAGGCGAGACAGAAAGGCGCGAAATATTTGAAAATATTCCTAATATATATAAAGATATATCACAATTAAATGCGACAATATCTCCGACAGAGGAGAACCCAACTTGTGGTAAAAACAATTGAAAAGCTGCGAGAGTCGTGTTGGTTTGCTCTTAGTTTGTCCCAGCTTTCATTAATGCCATCATCAATCGCTCTCCCCTTTTCCTTTATTATATGGCCTTCTGAGAAGAAATCCTCCAATGATATGCAAGAGGGATTTTGCCTGAGCAATCTCTTCTCATGAGGATTCCAATATACCCTTTTTTACGACATTCCGTAATACGAAGAACAGTCGGAATTCTTAGGTCAACAATAATGTGAGAAATTAATGTGCCTAAAGATTAAAATCCATGGGACTTGCGAGCTCGACAGTGCGTGTCGGCATCACGCGCGGGTTGAATATGGACCCAATTAGGGCTTCTATAGGCCCAATATATCTTGGGCTGAACGAATTGGATTTGTAATTGAAATCTCATGGACCAACCTATTTCTACATATTTTCTATAATGCAATGTTTAGTTGTACAAATTTTAGGAAACTGCAAAATCCGAAATGATCGAAATTAGATGAGATAAAGTGAAGCAAAGGCACGATAGAACGATTGTTGAAATCGACTACCGGGTACGCTGCTCAATGGTCAGACCCAAAAGCAATACAAACGGCAAAGCCCCGAATCCATGAAGATATTGATTCTAAATATATATATAAAAATAATCTTTATACGAGATAAAACATTGTAGTGATGAAATTAACACGAAAGCCCCTTCTCCAGTCAACAGAAAGAGCAAAACAAGGCATCCATCAGCGCTTCTTGGAGACACCAACAGTCTTTCCCCGACGGCCAGTAGTCTTGGTGTGCTGGCCACGCACCCTCAGCCCCCAATAGTGCCTCAGACCACGGTGGTTTCTGTTACAATCACAGAATATGCCGGCTTTTTTAAATTCTATCTATTGATGGTTAAAAAACAGTGGAAAATGTTAATACCTGATCTTCTTGAGGCGCTCAAGGTCATCCCTGAGCTTCATGTCAAGAGCATTGGAGACAACCTGGGAATATTTGCCATCCTTGTAGTCCTTCTGCCTGTTCAAGAACCAGTCTGGGATCTTAAACTGGCGAGGGTTTGCAACGATAGTCATGAGGTTGTCTAGCTCAGCAGCGCTTAGTTCTCCAGCCCTGAAATTAGGACCAAGGAAAGTATCCAGTAACACGAGAGATGCCAGCTAGTGTATGTATTCGCCTGTCATATACTAACCCCTCCCCATAATTCCGCCTGAATGCAGATAAACTCTACCTCGCAAAGAACGGTAATCACATGTTGACAAGAAAAAAAACTGTACTTTTGGAACCCAGTAGTGTAACACATCCAGTTTAGTTACAAAACCTAGGAACATAATACTGAAGGACCAATACAACTTCACACAATAAGCATAAGCGAATGGGGTGAAGACAACATAAAAAAACACGGAAACAGTCTCCGGTCGGAACAAGAAATATACTACTTCCCACAATTATTATAGTAGGAGGCGAATACGATATGTGGAGAACAAGGCATGATTAGGAGAGAAGAGAGGAAAAACGAGCACACCTCTTGTTCATGTCAACATCAGCCTTCTTGCAGACAATGTTGGCAAATCGCCGACCGATACCCTTGATGGAGGTCAGTGCAAACATTATCTTTTGCTTCCCATCAACGTTGGTGTTCAACACACGCAGAATGTGCTGAAAATCCTCGTTGGCCACCAGAGACTGCACATAAGCAGAACTAGATCCATAAACCTCGAAGTCTAACGCGTCAACCATAACCAGATGCATATAGGAGCAGCAGATTATCGAATGCAACAGGCGAAATCCCACAGAAAAGCTAAATACAGTAAACCCTAAACCCGAGACTGAATGCAATTCCAGAGACATCGAAGTTCATTATTACCATTCTGGGAAGCGGAGAAGGGTCGAGCGTAAGGAAGAAGCTCCTTGAAGACTATGGGGCGCAGCAGCTGAAGAGGAGCTTTGAGCGTAATGGCTTCGCATTTTATTTTTTTAGAGCGGCGACCTCCTAGGGTTTGCATACCTCGCTTCATTAATTACTAATTTGCCCTGGAGCTGTACAAATCGAATCGAACATGCCCGTGGATCTCGATTCGATTGGGCCCACGAACAAAGCAATTGGGTAGGGTAGCCCAGGAGAACTGTGGGCGGTTTGATGGGCGTGCAGCCGTTGACAAAAAAACTTTTGTGGCCCACGTGTCTAAATCCAATGGGACAAAAGTGGCATGGACCAATTAGAAAGCTGCCGGAGAACTCGATCCTAATGGATTAAACTAAAAACCCATATTTTGATGTCGTAAACAGATGAGTTTCGGTCTACACCACCAATACAAGTAGGTGCATTAACATAGTCATAGACCACAACAACTATATTTAAATCTGAAACGTCTTGATGACGAAATGAAGAGCGCTCACTCGCCAACTATTTTATCCTTCACTGCTTCTGTAATTCTATCCGTACAAGATATCTCTCTCTCTTAGTAGTCCGTACTTCATATAGAGTTACTAACTGTGAAAGATAGCATCTGAAACTTCCCTCAAACAACGGCCAGGAGTTCCTCCTCCTCGATCTCAGCGTCGGTGAAGGTGAGCGCTCGCTGCAGTTTACGAGCAGAGAAGACTTCAACCTCAGCCAAGTAGGTGGCAGTGACAGGACGGTGATCAGAAAGCGACTGTTCGCTGCGCTGGTAACGAACCAACCTCATTCCTTTGCCATAAGAGAGAACTCTGTCGCACCATGCTGGTGTTCGCCTTCCAGCCCTTGCATCCTCCCCGCTGTACCTATCGGAGTTCACTTGGTACTTGTACGTTGGTGCAAAATCAATGCTTCCTTCCGACCATCCTTCAAATGCCCTGCCTTTCTTGTACTCTCTTACCAGCTGCCATCATATCAAACATTATCATTATTGTTCTGGCAGTTGATATCAGATGACAGAACAGTCTTCTCCATTTTCCAGAGACTTTAGCCTCATTTAGCTAGCATCGACTATCGAGCTTTTGTTCACGTTTTAGGTTACACTTGTATTGCATTTTTTATGGAAATTGCTCTATTACCTGGTCTTTCTCCAGTAACACAGACCACTCTTTCTTTGAGATGAGCTCCCTGGTTTTATCATAGGACATGCTAATCCGATAGTTCAAATCGCCCAACCAAATTATTCTCCTGCAGAAAGAAAGAGTCAGAGGCTTTTGTCAAAGCCATGTAAATGAGTATCGGAGGAAACGGGCTGAGTTTCCAGGAATTGCTCACTCATGATCATAGATAAGCTTTGGGAGCCCAAGAGCAGAGACCGAGTGGAAGATGGTTCTCTTGTGAATCTCATGAACATCGGCATTC